TCTCTCTCTCTCTCTCTCTCTCATATATCTGGTAACTGTTCATCTGTTCTCTCCTTATTTGCCTACTACATCTTCCCTTCCCTGTCTTCATCTTTTATTATGTACGACTGTTTGCTCATATACTATCACGCGAGCTCTTTGTACGTACATTCGTCTGTTTTTCGTCCTGCTTGATCGTCTCTGAGAAGTTTTTTGTCCTATTTGATCGTCTCTGAGAAGTTTTTCGTCCTGTTTGTTTTCCTATCGACGTGTGTGTGTGTGTGAATTTATCCTCGGATGGTTAGTCAGTAAAGAGCCATCAAAGACAAGCCCGCTGAACCACCACACCACCACAGTGTAAATTTTCTCTCCCGCCACACACGAACCCGATGAATGAAACTCGATCGTGTTGTCGGACAAAGTAAAGTGAATAATTCTGAATTTACATCGACTGTTTCATTCATTATTTAGGGTTATAGAACCATGTATGTTCGCTGCTATTGTCTCCGGGACCCCCTGGAGCCCCCTCTCTACCCCCCCCCCTACCCCTGGCTGCTGGCTGCGCCCCTCGGACCCGTGATGTTATCTGTGAGGTGATAACATCGGGCAGGTGCTGACCAGTGGTACCAGAGCCCGGGATTGCCTTACGCTTCCGAAAAATATAACTCTAACGTTACCTTTTTTTATTACTATTTTGACATGGAAATACTGCTAACGTTACCTACACTTTGAATACCACGATTTGTGCGATTTTCTTAACATAACTCGTTATGTTTTTGTTAATTATCGGTGCTACAGCCAGAGGTTTTTCGCAGGAAGGTTCTGGCAAACCTGGTACTAACTCTAGGCACACGACACTGAGAGTGCACAAGGCGCTTAACCGGGGAGAGGGAAAACATCCTAAAATAACCCCTAATGATAATGGTGTTAGAGATGCATATCGAGAGTGGGAGGACGAGGCCCATATGGTCCACGCTGGCGACGTTAGAACGTTTGAGAACGTTGTGCAGCGTGAGTGCCACTGGGAGAAAGAGACATTAGGAACAGTACGCGGACCCACACTAATCCAGATGTCCTTTTTTTCCAGTAATCCAGATGGGTCGATCACGGGACACGTCGGGGACGGGGGAACTCGGTTGCTCACAGCGGTGTGTTAGCTGTGTTATTAACTGCCCAGTGAGGAGCAGTGGTTGTACTAACTACACAAGAAACAGTAATGATGTAGTTAACTCTCACTGAGGATATATTACTGAACAGCACAAACAGACTAGTAACTGTTCGACTTACTGTAACTGCTCAAAGACGAATCATGCTGAACATAATTACTGCTCAGCAGGAGGTAGTTGTTAGATTTAATTGCCCAACGAGGTGTAGTTGTTAGAGTTAATTACCAAATGAAAAAACAAAACAACGATAAGGGTTGCTGCAACGAGAACTAATTGTTCGACATAACTGTCTGGAACAGTCGCTAGATTTACTACCCAACGACTTATTGATGGACAAAAGTGTAACAGGTGGGTACAGCGTCCACTGAACTGCTGAATGAGGTGTTGTAGCCGGGCCTCTAACAAACCATTAGCCGAGGCTCCTGAACTTTAATAAACTGAACTGTTGCCTCATAGTTAGCCATAACCTTTACCGACAGTCTAGGATTACTTGCAGGAGTTAGGATTTTTAAAACGGCGTGTCGTAGTCCTAAACGGCCCTCATTGTTCCCTATTGACCAACCAGGAGGTAATGTAACTGTCAACAACTTCCTCCTCATTATGTGCGACGATGGAGATTATCCTGTCGCTTATGCACAGTTACGGATTATCAGATAATTGTTTTGTGATCGTATCGTTGAGGTTTACAGATCTAGCCCTCCAACACCACCTCCAACACTCGCCCTCATAATGTATAAATAAACTCTAAACACACATACAAGAGTCCTGCCAGGCTTGTACGTCCAAGTGGAATGACAACTGTTGGCGTCGGTCACAAGATCTGTCAGATGACCAACCAAGGAACCGTCTTACAGTGGCTCAGCTAGATTGAGGGAGTAATCTCAGACAAGAGGATGTTGATTTAGTTTTCATTTATTCATTTTTGTTTATACATGTTTTCGTTTACAGCAACCATCATGAATACCGTAATCTGACATCGGATAAAGTGCCGAAAAAAAAATACCATATGCCCATATGCCAAGAATATCTAGAAATGGCCGAGCTCCTCTTTTAACCTGACGGCAACCCAACACGTTACTGGAGGAGACAGTCAATTATTGTGATATCAATCGTGAGCTGCAACACATCAAAATCCTACAAACTAGAGATTGTATAATTATTACACAGCAAACTACCGCTAAGTGGGATCTCGCGTGTGTGTCATGAGAAGCTGTAGTGGGACACACACACACTACACACACACACACACACACACACACACACACACACACACACACACACTACACGCTATATTGCTCTGTTCACGAAATTACTTTATGAATAAGAAAAAAAAAGAAATTGAAGATTTAAGTGATATATTATGAGTTATGTGAAGAATATACCATAGGAGGAAAGGAGGATAATTATTCTAAACAAACTAGAAATAAAAAATAAATTAAAACAAAGTAGAAACAAAGAAATATAAGTGAATAAAAGAGAAAATATCGTGATAAATTTTCATGGTAGGAGAGTGAGGTGAGTTTTGCATATAGCAGCTGCGATAAGAAAGAAGAATAATGATTTAGGGAAGACAAACATTCAATAAACACGAACAGGAGAGCGGCAGCAGTGAAAAGTTCCGATAAGATCTCTTGGCGTGGTTGAGTGCTGAACGTACGCAGAGAGAGAGAGAGAGAAAAAAAAAAATGCTTGGAAAAAATATTATGATATGTGAAAAAATGAAAAACTGGAGTAGGTCAGATGAACGTAGCTTTCATAAAAATATACATAAAGTGTGGCGGTATACTGTGGGGAGGAGCAGGAAGTATATGTAGCCCACACTTCCCTCGTGTCAGTTTTGTTTATCTTCCGCCGTTCTAGATTAAATAAATAAATTAGAAAATACTGAAAGAAAAGGAGAAATGAACTAAATCTTCCCTTACTACTAATCCGTCGAGCAATAACAGGATGGCACCCGAGTTTAGTGTTGTTCCTCCTTTTCCACAAGTCCTAGATCCCATCCCACCTTGTTATTATTCCTATCCTATCGCCCTTCCCTTTCCTTCCACTTAGAGAAACTAGAAGTGATATAGATGTCTCTTCCCTCCAGTGCTGACAGAGATCGTAAAAATATCTTAAGTTTTCCTCTAATGAAACTAAATTGACAACAGTAATAAGTAAAGTCTCTGTCAAGAAAATTCAAGGTGCAAATGTAGTGAATTAATTTATGCATTATGTGGAGAAAAAGATCGAGATAAACCATAAACCATGAACATATAAAACAGAATATTAAACAAGACCAATAAACCATTACGAAAAAGAAAGTTATTTTATGATTAATATTTATCAAGAGACAATAATTACGTCTTCATCACTATTAAGTCTATTACTTTCAACAGTAATAACAGTTATCAATCTCTCTCAGCACTGTGTGAGGAAGGAAATAAAAAAAAAATTAGAATATATCCATGGGAAGTTATTTAATGTTAATCTTAACATCATCAACGGAGTGTTAATATTATGTGTTAACTGTTGACGTAAAGTTAATAAAATTATCATGGGTGTTAATTGTGGATAACTTTTTTTTTTTTTTGTTAACTGCAGTTTGAATTTCCGTCATGATTTGGTTGATATTAGAAGCTTCCCAGATCGTTGTATGTGGTAACCGAGGATTGATATTCTGGAGGTGTGTGTGTGTGTGTGTGTGTGTGTAGAAATGTCTTATATATCTGAGTCTGTATGTGGAGAGGTTTGTCACTTATTCTAAAAAAAAGTGAGATATTCCTTTGGCTTTGTTACAGTTCACTTACATTTATTCTTAAAATTAAAATAAACAAAAATAATATTGACTATAAAAAAAAATAATATGAAGCAACAACATTAAAGGTTTCATCAAGTTAATATTCCAGCAATAAATTCCCTTATCTAGTCTAATGTCACAGTAAAAATCAGTCATTTTCTATAATATAATTAAACACTAAAGATGTGCACTGCTCCGCCTCACCAGCTCAGAGAGAAGTCTTGCAGTTCACCTCTCACATGTTGAGTAAATTTACTGAAAAAACTGCTTGATGATTTTAGGATAAACTGTAGGGTTTTATTTGTATACACTCAAGGATAAACACAGGTTGTGGTTATGTTGTTGTAACTGAGGTGTGCGGATTCTGTTAAGGGCGTTGTTTGATCCATGTGTGAATTTGATCTGAGTGTGTGAGTGTTGATGTACGCGTGATTCTGTTTCGAGTGAAAATATCGAACACGTGTACGAATCTGATCCCGGGTGTAAATTTGACCCAAGTACAAATTTGATCCAAGGACGAACCTCAGAATATCGACGCCTGTTGCATGTTGTTCTACTGAGTTGCTGCTATTGCTTGTTCCTTTAGTTCTTTCTGCTTGTTATCATCCATCCTGCTTTTTAATTCACACGGCTTCTTAGTATTAGTTCCACACATTTATTCTAACACAGTCATATTAATAGCATCCGTTTATTAATAATATTTACTAATGAATTTTGTTTTGGGCAAATAATAAGGTAAATATTTTAGTTTCAAAACAGTTGTATTATAAACTAAGAACGTTTCGATTTAGTTGCATATATAATTTGGTATAAAATTACTTTCTGCATTTCTATGAGATTTTTCGTTCAAGTGTAATGTTTTGTCTGTTTTCAAAGACTTCAAAGTGTGTTGCAGGAAAGCTTGGCGAGTTATCTTAGAAACGGTACAAATTCGTTTCCTCTTGTCTTACTTTATTGGATAGCTACTTTCCTCAACACCCTTTGAAGTTTTTAATATTTCAATATGGTATATTTTGCGCAATTTCATTATAAATACTTAATTATTTCGTCACTGACCGCATGCGGTGTTTCATCAGAGGGCCGTGAGTGCGTCAACTGTGGCGCCACGTCGACGCCGTTGTGGCGACGCGACGGTAATGGTCACTACCTGTGCAACGCCTGCGGCCTGTACTACAAGATGAACGGCCAGAACCGACCCCTCATCAAGCCCAAGCAGCGCATGGTGAGTACACTGTGTAGTGCAATGTATGGTGCGCTGTGTGTGGCACTGTGTGGTGCAATGTGCGGTGCAATATGTGGTGAAATGTGTGGTGCGCTGTGTGGGGCACTGTGTGGTGCACTGCATGACACTATTGAACACAATAACAATACTACAATATGAACGACCACTCACCAAGTCCAGGCTACACACACTGTGTGACAATCTTTGGCACGCTACACCTCGGTAATACAGTAGTTAAACAGTTAGTATCGTCCATTTTCAGAAAGACCAAGCCCATGGTGGTACCAACACTGTTTCACTACAGTATGTTACACTACGGAGCAACACACGGTATGGTTCAGTAGTTGTTGGTTTACAAGGCTTACAACAGTACAAGGCTTACAACAGTACAAGGTTTACAACAGTACAAGGCTTACAACAGTACAAGGCTTACAACAGTACAAGGCTTACAACAGTACAAGGCTTACAACAGTACAAGGTTTACAACAGTACAAGGCTTACAACAGTACAAGGCTTACAACAGTACAAGGTTTACAACAGTACAAGGCTTACAACAGTGCAAGGTTTACAACAGTACAAGGTTTACAACAGTACAAGGCTTACAACAGTACAAGGCTTACAACAGTACAAGGTTTACAACAGTACAAGGCTTACAACAGTACAAGGCTTACAACAGTACAAGGCTTACAACAGTACAAGGCTTACAACAGTGCAAGGTTTACAACAGTACAAGGTTTACAACAGAGTAAACCTAACCTATGATACACTGACATGAACCACACTGCTTTATATGGTCAGGTAACATTGTACACAACTATATAAGATTATCCTGTGTATTCTTAATGTGTACGAAAGGTAGAAAGTAAGGAAAAGAGAACAAAAGAAGAAAATAACGGAGATAGAGTGAATGAGTCACACCACCACTCACAGCAGAGGGCGGAAACCATCTGTGTGAACTAGAGAGAGAGAGAGAGAGAGAGAGAGAGAGAGAGAGAGCCAGCTGAATGTAGTAATCTCCCCCTCACAGTCGATACAATGGAGGGCGGGAACCATCTGTGGCAACGAGAAGAAAGTGTGTATGTATGTGTGTATGTATGTGTGTATGTGGGTTAAAGAGCGAGCCAGCTGACAATAGTGTTCCTCTTCCCACAGTCGGCACAACGGAGGGCGGGGACCAGCTGTGCCAACTGTAAGACCACCACAACAACACTCTGGAGACGCAACCAGAACGGCGAACCAGTGTGCAACGCCTGCGGCCTCTACTACAAACTACATAACGTGAGTGTCCTCCTCTCTATGGCTGTTGACTGTCTCAGGATTATTTTCATTTTAAAGATAAATTTCACGGCGTTGTGTCTTTGTTTTGGTCTGACACGTGAATTATTTGAAGTCATACACGCAGAGTTTAGGGACTTTATTGATGTACCGATGAAAGTGTTTATACTGTGTAATAATTAATTGTGTTTACAAGCTACGTGAATGCTATAGCTTTTTGTTGACTAACTTTCAGCTATAAATAAAAATAATAACCTGTAAGCCAAAATAGATATAGGTATTAAACTTTCCAACACAATTATCTATTAAACTATGGAAGAAAATTTTAAAGAAGGTTGCCTCATTTTTCCTGCGTGATGGGGAAATGTCCTGAGAGTGTGGACAAGAATATTAACATACTTGAAATTATTCTGATTCTCATTTCCTGTGCGAGATAGAACTGACATCGATAAATACATCTTATATTCATATAACAAAGATTCCTTCCTACTTAATACCTCTGTTCGTAGGTGTGATGTTTGATAGATAAACATAATAATGAAAGCAAAATAAATATTCAGATCTTAGGGCATTTGTCTTCAATATATTTTGATTCTTTATTACCCAATGTTATCAAGTGGACGGAAGAATATTAATATTGGAACCACTTTAATTAACGCCAATAAGTAAAACCTTAAACTTCCCTCTTATTCTAGAGTATTGTACAGTATGTGGCTATATAGAAATTTCTAGTATAAAGTGCGCGCTGCTTTTCTTATCATATTATATTAAAAACTGTGTACTAGTCCATAGTGCCGTGTATAGCCTCACACTGCTGGCACCTGAAGCTACATCTCTTGCTTAATGTGGTGATACGGACGACCTGTTGAGAAACATTACCACAAATTATGGTTAATCTTCCTTCACTTCCTTTTGGATACAGAGTTATCACAATATAGTTTGGTAATATGTGTATATATATATATATACATATTTTTTCCGGCTGTCACTTATATTACTTCAAAGTAAAACATCCATTATATACTTCATATAAATACGTAAGGCCACCAGGAGCAGCAGTAGCTCTCCACCATGAATACTTGCGCACGTAAACAGTGGAAGATACTGGATACACTGAGCCTAGCAGCAGTCACATAAACCTGATGTTAAGGTGCGTGTGGGCCCAAGCCTACCAGGGACCCAGTAAACACAAGTAAAGCCTACGGGATTACATATCTTGTCAGGTGATCTGCATCTGAGGTGTTTACCGATGACAATCTGTGATGGTTTTACTGTTATTGTCTTAGATAATGGAGGTGATCCACTTTGATTATCTTCCTGGCATTGTTGTGTGTGTGAGGAGTCTCCTCGGGCTTGCTGGGGATATCTTCCTGGCATTGTTGTGTGTGTGAGGAGTCTCCTCGGGCTTGCTGGGGATCCCGGGGAGAGGGGAGAATGTGAAGTCTTTTGCCTAGAAGGAGAAGTAAAGAGGAAGAAAAAAGACATGGATGAAAATTTAGAATAAGTGAGAAATTCAGTCATCTCTATCTCTACATGAAATTGAGTTTTTCAGTCCTACATTCTTTCCAACACACACACACACACTCTCTCTCTCTCTCTCTCTCTCTCTCTCTCTCTCTCTCTCTCTCATTTTTTTCGTCTCCTCCCACTAACATCGTTTCCCAACACTCCTGGCCCCTCCTCCTCCTCTCCTCCTCCTCCTCCCCTCTTCTTCCTCCACCTCCTCCTCCTCCTCCTCTTCTCTTCCTCCTTCCCTCTTCTTCCTCCTCTTCCCCTCCCCATTCCTCCTCCCCTCTTCCTTCCTCCCCCCCCCTTCCTCCCCCCCTTGGACCAGGTGTGTGGTGGAGTGACGATGTGGGGGTTGGGAGGAGGGAGGAGGGAGGAGGGAGGAGGAGGGAGGAGGTCTTGGTGGAGATAAGGGAATGATGGCCATCGCTAAGATACCCTCAAGATGGCCAGATGTTGGGTGCCGAGGTGTGCAGATCTGAGGGAAAGAGGTTTGACTATCAACTCATCTCAAGATCTGTGGGCCCTCAGGTGATGAGTTTAGGATCGCTAATCTCCTATCTGAGCTCGTAAACTTGCGGTGTGGACTGGTAGTAAACACTCAATTATAAGAAGTGTTGGTTGTATGTGTGTGTGGGATGATGTGTTTGGCTGTGCAAGTGTTCACCAACGAGAGAGAGAGAGAGAGAGAGAGAGAGAGAGACTACTTGTTTGTTTAGTTAGCAGCTTTGTTTACATAGCGTACACTGCACATCTGATATCTGTCGTTATTGTTTTTGTTTTTCAGAAGCGTCAAAGAAAAAAATAACAGACGAAATATGTCATTCCCACAGACTGTCACATTGATAATCTTAGATATATTACATGATAACCTATCCAGTAATAAAACAATTATAAAAATAGGAATAATTTGGTCCTCATAATTCTTAAACTGTCCTTAAATTAGACGTAGCTTAAGTTAATTATCTAATTATCGTAATATATAAGGCCAGCTACCTAGAATAGCGAGTGAACACGTGGGGAAATATATGATCGAGACGCAAGTGAGTTAAAAAAAAATTATAATAAGATAAACGCAATCTGAGCAGATAGTCATTCCGTATCTCTGTCGACACGTCAGATGGCACCTCCCTGCCACCCGTAAATGAAAGATACAATCCCTTATCCTCCGTCAGATTACATTGTATATAAAGATGCGGTACGATACTCTAACTTCCTCGCGTGATATTATCTTACGCCCGACAGCACGCCCCATTCATTTAGCCCATCCAACTTGGATCCAAATCTGCGATAGCGAGATTACCTGTCTTCTAAGTGGAGAGAGATGGCATGGCGTTGATAAAAGTGGCATAAAATATTTCCATAGATGCGTTGTGGCGATGGAAGGGGGAGATCAAACGTTGAATATGTCATTAAAAACGTTTGTGGGAGATAAGGAGAGAGATGGGGATAAGGTCCAGGTACTTGATACTGTGATGATTGTTGGATGATGATCTAGATAAAGGTGGTGGGGGAGGGGAGGGGAGGGAGGGAGGGAGGGGAGGGGAGGGAGAGGGAGGGAGAGGGAGAGGGGAGGGGAGGAAGGAGAGAGAGAGAGATGTCATAAGTTATATATTGTTGGGTTTACGGGTGTCTTCAGACTGGGAAGACAAGATGCTGAACGTTAACTTATATTACAAGAACAAGATATTCAGAAGCAAAAGGAGATAATTGTTCCTTTGAATAACAATCAGAATTATCACATATTTCCGTAATCATATTTTGGGGTGTTTTTCTTCGAGTTCGTTACCTCATTCATTGACTCTGTGACGATGGTAGTACGTATATATGATGGTAGAGGGCGCATATAGAATCAACTCTGTCACCACGAAGTATACTTTTCTGTAGCCGAGACCCCCCCCCCCCTCCCTCAGAGGTGCGCGACCCTGGGCTGCGCAGTAAGAGGGCCAAGAATGCTTAAGGTCCAACACCGACACATCAAAGAATTCTCCCTTAAACTTCCTCGACGCAGACTTTACCATTCCTGGATTCCCTTCTCTCTCACTGTGTTATTTTCCTTACGTCTACTGACATGAAATTGCTGTTGATATGTTGAAAGTCAAGCTCGACACAAGGTACAAGTTATCTATATTTAGTGTAAAGGTGTTCAGAATCATCACAAGGTAAGGGAAATACCTCGTTATTAGCTCCTCTCTTCACCCCTCCTCATCCCCACACCTACGACTACTGCCAAACTTTGTTGCATAAAACGCACACACGAGCGAACTAACTCCTTAGTTTTTGTTCAGTCCTGTTGTACATGTCGTGATATTTGTCCCCCGCTCCCCTCCCTCTCTCATCCCACCCCCCCGGGCCCGAGCATCCACTAGTAAAGCCGCACCTCCCCTCCACGTTGGTTGTGGGCGTGGCCGAGGTGCAGATGCGTGTGTAGGGAGCACCAGTAGCCATTTTTGACACCATTTGCTTGAGAGCTCTCCTGTCACCGCTGCCCATATATCACAAGCGCGCGCGACTCGGGTACTCATCCTAAATTTTATGTCTCGGAAGTACCAGCAAAGCCACAAAACTCCTTTTGCTTCTTCGCCCTAAACCCACATCCTCCAGCACTTACGGGGCAAAACAATGTTCCTTTGGGCCCCCTAGCTCGCCTAAAGAAGAAGGAAAAGTGATAATAGTGTCCCTCCAGCGGTGTCTGAAAGTATATGTAGTGGGGCCCCTCGGCGGCACCGCTCGGCCCCGCCCTGAGCTATGGCAGTGCGTCACTTAAAAGCGGCTCGGCAGATCCCTCAACCGATTATCTGCGGCATCAGTAGGTTCATGGCCATGCCGTGATGCAGGTCATTGCGGAGAGTGATGCTCCTCCCGCTAAGAATTGTGTTCTGTCGTTGCGCAGGCGCAAATTATTATTTGTCAATGCGCCGTAGGGTTGAAAATTATATTCTCCATTACTCAGCGTCACCCCTAACTTTGCTCAAATTACCCACGTTATTCACTCCTCTCGTACTTTACACCCCACCCCACCCCCCCATACCAGCCATGTATACAGTGTGTTAAAACTACAGTCACTATCAACATACCCACACCACACATGTTGCCCACTTCATCACCTCCCACATCCTGCCCATCTCTCAGCGGTCACCACCCACACGCCCCGCCCTCACTTGATTGATCCTCTTGGGAATATATTTAGGTAGTAGTAGTAGCAGCAGCAGTTGTGGTAGTTGTTGTTGTAATAATAGTAGTTGTAGTACAGAAGTTGTAGTAGTTGTAGCTTTTCTCGAACTCCTGCTCCAAACTGTGTGCTATCACCTTTCACTTTCTACCATTCCTCCATCACTCTACCATTCCTCCATCAATCTACCATTCCTCCATCACTCAACCATTCCTCCATCACTCTACCATTCCTCCATCACTCTACCATTCCTCCATCAATCTACCATTCCTCCATCACTCAACCATTCCTCCATCACTCTACCATTCCTCCATCACTCTACCAT